TCCTTTTCTGGTAACAGATCAATACATTTGCCTCTGAGTGTGATATTTTAATCCAAGTAATAAAGCACCTTTGCACAAGCAAATGCCATGACCTTTTATATTTACCTGCCATTTGTCCCAGCCCCCCCCACACAGCTCTGAGAGACACATATAACACACACGCCCCTGGTTACCATGGAAATTATCTACGAGGTATATGTCATGCACAAATAATCCTTAAGCAGGAAATGCCATGTTTTATGGTAGGTCTTTCTGGTCTATTCCCAACCGTACCTCACTGTTGGCAAAATCTCAGACATTTGCTGCAGAAGGAAAGCATTTATAATCTGAAAGAAATGCCACAGCCTCCTGGCACAGTTCACGCCTTGCCTATCTTTAGTCCTCAACCACCACCTGCCGTATTTTCCCAGTCATGAGGTTTCCTCTTTGTGTAACAAACTTAGAGCAGGTGCCCGAGTAGGCAGTAACAAATCAGCTTCTAGTAGAAAGAAGGGGATCTGACTTGTCCGACATTCCTTCCAGATGTCAGGAAGTAAATGCCCAATGACACAAAGGTCTTCAAATGTCAGAGTATCTGACTGAATGATCAAAAAACAGGAAACACCAAAGGACCAGGTGGAGCAGAAATGAACACGGCATTCCAAATGCTGAATAAATGGGACCCGCCACCTCCTACTAATGAAATCTCCCTCCACCACTAAACACTAGACAGCGTTACATGCAAAGGGGCTCTCATCCTGTGACACAGACCATATTTTATCATAGGTCACAGGCTGTGCCACCTGCATTGCTTCCTTGGAAGGCTCTGGGGCAGCACTATAGCCAGAGATGTCACTGCAAAATGCTACTCAAACTTGAACCTGGAGACTCTCAATACTCAACTCAATGTTCCAGACAGTGGATAACTTGACTCTTACACTTTAGAGAGCAAGAACAGCATGCACAAATGACTGCACTATTTTTTTTTTTTTTTTTTTGAGGCTTTTTTGCCTTTTCCATTACGGTGTTAGGGATCGAACCCAGAGCCTCGAGCATGCCAACCACAAGCTCTTTTACTGAGCTACACCCTTTAAAAGGAATTCTTAAAAAGCTGAAAACAGACTTTCCAACTTATGCCTTAAGTAATACCTTTGATGGTCCCCACTGCTGCAGAAAAACCTACTGGAAAGATATCCTGCCTGCTACAAGTTCACTGATGAGCAAGTCCTTGGACACCCAGGACCACATTTTCCTACACAATGTAATAAAATCAGTTAGACCCTGAGGCAGCTAACAAAGAACAACTTAACCTACCATGCACTCTGGAGCCAGTCACCAGCCAGCAGGTCAGTGATGGCCCAAGGACAGCTATGTTGGCTGGAGGATAAGTGGGCCTACAGAGCTGTGAAAAGTTTTAAAAATCAGGATTATTGTAGAAAAAAAGAGAAAAGAATGAAACAATTTTTTACAAAAATAGACAGCAGATGGGAACCGCTTTTCAATCTATATTTCAAGGATCCAGGAAGGGTGATCAGCAATGGATAGCCCTCAACACGGCCCCAGGACCTCACCCCCTAATTTCCCGGTATGGGTGGGGCCTGGAGCTGGCTTCAGACCTAGAGAACATGGCAAAGGTAAGAACTGTGGTTAATCACATTACACCAGGCTTCAGCTTTCAAACAGCCTTCTTACTGGCTCAATGAAGCAAGTAGCCACGCTGGGAAAGCCCACGTGGCAATGAGCTTGGGGCAGCCTCCAGGTCAGCCAGGTCAGTCTCAGACCTACACCATGAGGAAACGGATCTGGCCAACCACCTGAGGAGGCTTGGAAGCAGATGAGAACCTCCAGATGAGAATCAAGCCCTGGTCAACACCTTGACCACAGCATCATGGTCCCCAGGCACAGAACCTGACTAAGCCATGCAGATTCCTGATCCACAGAAACTGTGAGAAAATAGATGCGTGTGGTTTGAAGCTGTTGCAATGGAGGACCAATACATGTTTCAAATGATCATGTGTAATCATAAGCAAGTGTGCAATTCTTCTCTCCTTAACCCTCTCCAAACTAAACCCCCCGAGCTCCACCTTTCTTAAAGGGTCTCTGCTTCAGGGCGAATCCTTACTTCACCTAAAACTACCTTTCTTTGGTTAAGGTTCAGTGATTTGAATATAATTTTTCTCTTTCTAGGAAAATGGTGTATATCAAATGGCTGTTGTTTCATTTAAAAAAAATCATGAAGGTCTCTATCCTGGGCCACCACTTGAGGACTCACAGGAGGTACAAAAGATGCAACCACACCTTGTCCCTGTCCTTGCAGAGCTCACAGTCTAGAAAGAAGAAAGCAACTATATTTATAAGCATCCATCTGGGGAGAGATAGAAAGGCTTAGGCAGCCAGTGCAAGATGGCCGTGAGGAGGCTGGTGCAGGGCCAGGACAAAGGAGCATGGAGAGGGTCTCTGATGAGGTCCACTTCCTGCCTGATGAAAGTGCTCATGGACACAAGCAGAGGACCCAATCAGACAGATACTTCTGTACTTGTGCTCCTAAGCTGGGGACCCAATAGAAAAACTAAAACAGACGTACAGAGGGGGCATGGATCAATAGTGGTGAGGAGATCATGGACAGGGGAGAAGATAAGGAAAGGAGGAAATTCTAGAGACTATAAAAAGAAAAGACCAAAATGCCCCCAAGGATTCTCAGCTCGGGGCCCCTTCTCTCCAGAGAAGTCTATCTCTGTCACTTTTGCAATAAACCTGCTGCTTGCTTGCTACCTCTGTGGCCTGTCCATCATTTTTTTTGCAGAATGAGACAATAAACCCAGCGCCCCTAGATGGTAACCCCTGGATGGTAACACAATAGATAATTATTTTGCACCTATTATGTGCTCTCCCCTCCTAGGTGCTGGGGAAGTGGCAGGAAGCTCCCGGCCAGAGAAGACAGAACCCGACATCCGAGTCAGGCTTTGCCCTCAGAAGTCAACGTGGAGCCCTGGTGTCAGGTAACATGGAGGATGTTCTCCAACACTCTATTAGGACAGCAGAAACACGTCTGACTGGTGCAGCCAGGGCAAGCAGCAGAATGAACCACTCTAATTTAAGCACTTTTACCAAATAAGCAAGTCAATTAAGAAAGAAAAGGACCCTGGAGGCTCACAGGGTCCAGCACACAATGGCTCAGCCTAGGCAGAACATCCTCCCACTTCCCCACTGGCAAGGATCTAATTTTACCTGCTGTCTCTGGGAAAGTGCACCTGGCAATTCTGCACCTTTGTCTCTGACATTTACAAGGCTGCAGCAGCCTCATAAGCAAGGTGCCTACTTATAGCCTAATCCTCCCCGGAACTGGCGCTTATGGGAGGCCCCTCCTCCTTCCCCCTTAATTCTCACTTCAAGTCAGCCCCCTCCACATTACTCACATGTGGCAAAGGCCACTGGCTACATCCCCCACAAAGTCCTTCTGATTACAGACTCAGCTGGGGCTGCTGATCCTGATTATGTAAACATTTTTACCATAGCAATGGACGGAATTAAGGACATGAATGGCCACAAATGACTGAATGAATGTGTGGGAGAGGAAGAAGGGTAGGATGACACTCCTTATATACATGCTCCTGTGCACACAAACACTCTACCCCATGCTTTGTCCTAACTGAAAAAACTTTGAGATGATGACAATAATGATAAAGTCTTCATATTCGATTTTTAAGTTTAATAGGAAATAACCAGAGCAATAACTTTTAAAAATACGTCTGTGGTGGAACCCTTTATTCTACATCCTATCTTGCACCCAAATACAAGACTCAGATAAAACTGAAGCTACTGTTATTTAAAGAGAGATGGGGGATGAGCAGCCTCCCTGGCCAGCCTTGACCTCCCCAGATCTAATCAGCATCACCACTGTGACTAAAAGATTTGACAAGAACAATTTTAGAGGCGGAAAGTTTATTTGGGGCTCATGGTTTCAGAGGTCTCAGTTCACAGACTGCCAACTTCATTGCTCTGTGCCTGATATGAAGTCCAGTATCACAGCAGGCGGGTGTGGCAAAGGAAAGCAGCTCAGGACACAATTAGAAAGCAAAGAGGGCTCTCCTCACAGGGACAAAATATATACTCCAAAGGCATGCCCCCAGGGACCTTCCTCCTCCAGCACACCCTACCTATCTATAGTTACCACCAGCTCATGCATTCAGTGGGATTAATGCATTGATTAGGGTAAGGCTCTCATCACCCAGTGATTTCACCTCGAAACTTTCTTGCATTGTCTCATACGTACATGAGCTTTTGGGGGACACCTCATACCTAAGCCATAACACTGCCACATTCCCCACTCAGAACTCCCAGGCTCAAACAAACTGAGCTACAGCAGCTTCTTGTAGCCCTGAAACCCGGGAACCAGCCAGTGTAGAATTCTTAAGTGAAAGGCTGAGGAACAGCAAGAATAGCTCTTCAAAAGGAAGGAAATTGGAACTGGCCCTTGACCTTGAGATATGCAAAGTCTCCAGAAGTCAAGAAGGAGCACCCAGAGCAGATGCCACTGCGCTGTGCAGAGAAATCAAAGGCTCAGAGCAGCATGACACAGCACTGCCCAGGCACCTGGCCAGGGCTGAGGAGGGGACAGCCTGAAGCTAATCCTACACCCAGAGTGTGCCCTGGTGACCACTCTGGCTACAAGGACTTGTCAGCTACGGGGCATCAAGAGTTCTGTGTGGGGGAAATGTAGGGCTGTAAGACACACTGATGAGGAAGGCATCCCTGTTTCCTGCCGTGTCAGTGAGGACCAAAGGACTCAAGAAGCCTGAAGAATTTTAAAAAGAAGACAGAAATAGGGGTGTGGTTCAGTGGTGGAGCGCTTGCCTGACAAGTGGAAGGCCCCGGGTTCCATCCCCAGCACAGAAAAAAGAAAAGAAAAGAAAGAAAGACAATGACTTAGGTCTACAGTTGTCAGTTAACTTGGGTCAAAAGTGAGTCACAAATTCTAGCACAGAGAGATCACCTGCTGGGGGGCTGATGGCACACTGTACCTGGAACAGAATGTGAGGACTTATCACCTTCTCCCGAGAATTACTGGGACCTGGCAGCCAAGATGTCTCTGGACGGCTCTCGCGGGGGGCTTCAGACTCCTGCAAAACAAGGAAGAGCTGTCAGGTGCTTTGTTTTGGCCCCAGAACCTCCGACGGGCAGGCGGAGGGAGGAGAGAGTCAGCTCAGCCCTGCAGCAGGCAGACCGCCAGCTGCAAGGCCGACTGGTGACAGGGGTACACAGGGGAGGCAGGAAGGTCCCGTCGCAGGCATCGACCAGGCACAGGGAATAGTGGGGAAAGCCAGGGGGCTGATGGGAAATCAGACCAGATGACCCAGCTGGAGATTCCACCATTTCACCTGGACAAACAGAACCTCCCATTTCAGAGAGGACCACATAAGTGTCACACAGGCTATTTCCACAAATACAGGGCACAGAGGTGGAGGTCATGGGCAGGAGTTGGGGCAGAAATCCATGGCTGGTTTCTTCAATCTGACTCCAACTCACACAACTGGCCTTTGGTGATGGAGTCCTGGATGGGCCAGCCGGCATGTCCGTGCCAAGTACATGCCCACCCTCAAACACCAGCAATCTGATGATGAAAAAAGGACTTGCTGACTAGAGGGTGGCCTGCAGTCCCAGAGGGAAAGGCACTGGAGTTGACCAGGGCCTGGAAGTGCCTGTGAGGCTTAATTAAGCTGCCTGAGTGCGATTCGCACCACATGTGAACCCAGAGAGGATTCTCATTACGCCAAGAATGCAAACAGCACCCATCAACAGCTTGAGCAGCCAGTGATCTCCAACCATGAGAATCCTGTTCTGTTCCCACCAAAACCTTCTGCACATTTACAGTGACATTTCATCCCTTCCCACTTTCTATTTTGGAAATGCCTGAGCTTACAGAAAAGTTAAACGAAACCCTTCACTTATTAAAATTTTAACATTTTGCCATTTTTGCTTTATCTTTCTGTAGGTAAATACACACTTGCCCCCATGAACCATGTGGTCAGTGAGCTGCAGCTGTTACGGGCATCTGACCCCTGACCTCTAGGTATTTCAGTCAATAACTTCTAAGAATGACACTGTCCTGCACAATTGTAAGGACCTTATCCCACCAACAAACTGAGCATTAATTCAATAATATCCAAACACAGCCCATAAACAAATGTCCCTAAATGTCAAATCGCTGCTATTGCTTGACCCTCATGTGCCACAAGAGGACTGAGAGAAACGAAGGTCAGGGAGGTCAGGTTCACAGCTCAGCCAGGGAGACAGTCCAAACGTCCAAACATCCTACTGCAAGCTGGGCACCAAGGTGGGGATTCACAATGTGCCAGCAAAAAGCGGCTGCAGGCCCAGGAATGGCTTCTGCAGTGAGGTGACATGTGGAGAACAAGTTCACAAACATAGAAGGAAAGAGGGCAGGAATGTTCCAGAGAGTGGGAAGATGTTAATACTGGACACCTGGCACACACGGGCAAGAGTGCAAAGATGAAGAAGCTCGAGTGTGACCAACGTGATGATGACCCCCAAAATGTCCATGTCCTTTGGATATGCCAGGTCACCCAGCCTATTCAGGTTGCAGAGGGAACAAGTGACCATTAGCATCACTAGCTTTGAATACATATGGGGAAGTCCAGGCACGGTGGAACACGCCTGTAATCCCACCTACTCAAGAGCCTGAAGTAGGAGCATCCCAAGTTGAAAGTCAGCCTGGGCAACTAACAAAATTCATGAATATATAAAGGGACCACAAGCCAAGGAAAGCAGGCAGCCTGTGGGAACAGAGAGGCAGGGACAGAGATTCTCCCCCAAAGTCCCTAGAAAGGGACACAGCCCTTCCAACTCTTAGATTTGTGCCCATTTCAGACTTCAGACTGTAAAGTAATGAATTTGTGTTACTTAACCCACTTTTAAAAAATTGTAAAAGGTTGAAAAAAGGGTAGAAACTGTCAAAGCACTGGGCTCTGGGAGAAAAGTCGTCAAATTCTCTTGCTAAGACAGGAAAGCCAGTTTATTCTCACAGAAAGGAGGGAGAGCCAAGAGTCGTGATCAAGGTTTATCGCCTCGGGAGGTAACTCTGGAGCTACAGGGACAGAATCTAGAACTGACTTTCATTGCCAAGGATGAAAGATGAGCTTGAAGAAAAAAATCAGAATTCTGCAAAATGTATAGCCATCACCGAGATTTCAACAGCTTTTGAAATTTGAATTTTCTGATGACACTCAGAATGATATTAACAAATGTGATATTTAAAAAAATACATGTGATTCATTTCTCTCGTTTTTTTTTCCCCCTTTCCCCTCACTTCCTCTTATATGTAATTTTGTAGAACAATGAGGGTCTCCTTCCTTTACCATGCAATTCCCTTCTACAGTAGATGGGGTAGAGAGAGAAGATGGGAGGGGAGGGGAGGGGAGGGGGGATAGTAGAGGATAGGAAAGGTAGCAGAACACAACAGTCACTAGTATGGCAGTATGTAAAAACGTGGATGTGTAACCGATGTGAATCTGCAATCTGTATACGGGGTAAAAATGGGAGTTCATAATCCGCTTGAATCAAATGTATGAAATATGATATGTCAAGAGCTATGTAATGTTTTGAACAACTAATAATAAAAAAATTTAAAAAAAATACATGTGAAATGTGTAGATTTATAAGATCTATATAGTTAAGTAAAGCAGGAAAATGCACTGATTCAAAGTGTAAAACATCCATGGGTCTTAGAGTATAAAAAGCTCATTGATGGTTTCAGACTCCACAGGGGAACCAACTACTGGCTGTAGAGTTTTGACATAGTATCAAAAAATAGTAATCACAGTTATCTAAAAGAACTACCATGGGTTGGGGTGCAGCTCAGTAGCAGAGTGCCTCCTTAGCATGCAAGAAACCCAGGGGTCAATCCCTAGCACTAACAAAAAAGGGGAAAGAAAGCTACGAAAGCATTCACCCTTTTCTAAGAACATACCTCGGAGGCCATATTTTCTTTACATACCAAGCTAAAACAACACATCAAAACTGACTGAATGCAGAGGCAGATATAGAATCCAGATAAGGCTGGGGATGTCGTTCAGTGGTAGATCCCTTGCCTGGCATCCATGAGGAAGCTCTGGGTTCCATCCCCAGCATGGGGGAAAAAAAAAAGTTTCTTTAATGAAGCTAAACATTAGATCCATAAGTAATATAAAATGATGCCACTCTTTCTCACTGGATCTTTTTTTGTTTTGAAAACTGTTGATTTTTCATAAAAACAACATTTATAGTTAACATGAAATAGTTTTTCGTTGTCATTTGTGGAAGGACCAATATACGGTTGTTCTAAATCATCATTTTTGAGTGGCAAAAAACTGACAGATACAACACACACAAGTAAAAGCCCCTGGGAGTCCTCGGGAATCTTCAAGAGAGAGCAGGAAGGGTGCTGAGACCACACAGTTTGAGAATCACGGCTGGAGAGTTGCCCAGCGAAGTGAACACAGCCAAGCTGAATGCAGGCTGGACACGGGGAGGCAGGAGGGCTTCTCTCCTGCCTCATTAGCCATGAATCAAGCAGGCTGCCCAAGGGATTCTCGCTGCAGGCACATTCTCCTGTCACAGTGTAAAAGCCCTTCATGCTAAACTGAAGTCCCAGGAAAGGCCCGCCATGCGCTAATCCAGGACGGACTCATCAGGATTAGCGGGACTGGAATGCACAGCCAACAATTCATAGGACTGCTTCTCTTAACCCAAGAATGTTCCAAGCGGTCCAATCTAATTTCCCAGATTCGAGAATCCCTTTGTTAAAAGCAGAATAAAGAAAATGCTTTACCTCACACCCGAAGAATCCAATTTCGTTCATTTTGTACATATAGCCAGCAGCGTTCCAACACTGCCTTTGACAGGCTTCTGGGAGCAGTGGGGACCGTGAGAGTGTGACCATGACATCAGGTGGCTGCATGGCCATATGTTAATAGTGGACACCTGGCACACACGGGCAACCCACAACACACTGCATCGACCAATTTACAAGTCAGAAGGAGTCGGATCTTTCCGTGAAGTACAATGGAAGCACCAACTAACCATGTCCTTGGATTTATTTGGTAAACATAGTGCCCAACTTCCTGGTAACTTACAGAGCCACTGTGCTCAAGAAAGACTTTGTAGAACATTCTTCATTCCACAAGTATGAACCGAGTGCCAGGACTGGGCTCGCAGCAGGGAACAAGCAGTCCCTGTCTTTGCGGAGTTTACGTTGGATTATTGGGATTATCTCTTCAAAAAAATAAGCATGTATGAAACACTAACCGGAAGTGGCACACTCTGGATCTCCCAAAGCAACTCCAGGGAATAAGGAGAGAGTCCAGAACTGTCCTGAGGATTCTGCAGCCCCGTGGGGCGCGCTGAGAACGGGCCGCCTAGTTGCTATGCCTGCAGACACTCTGAGTTCACACTCACAGAAGGATCTGGAGAAGCACACAGAACTTGATAGTGACTCCTGTCTTTCAGCCTTCCGGTCTGGAGGGGCAGTGCTGTTGTGGGAATTTTAAAAATACGTTCGTGTGTTGAAGGCTTGGCACTATTAGGAGGGGGTAGAACCTTTAAGAGGTGGGGCCTACTGGGATGGCAGGTCTTCTGGTCATTGCGGTGTACCTTTGAAGGGGAGAGCTGAACCCCAGCCCCTTTCTCTCTTCTGCTTCCCAGATATGAAGGGAGTGATTCTGCTCTACCACGTATTTCCACCATGATGTGTTGCCTCACCACAGGCCCAAGGCAACCAGGCCGATCAGTCATGGACTGAAAATCTAAAGCTGTGAGCCAAAACAAACCATTTCTCTTTTTCAAGTTGATTATCTCATGTATTTTGTTACAGTAACAGAAAGTTAACACACTACATTTCAGATTCATCTAGACTATTATTAAGTGAAATGAAATATTCAAAAGGAATGGATTTGGACAGTTACCAGAAACATGTTCCCACTTCCACAGTTCTGTCACAGCACCACATAGTCCCACTTACCATTTTCTCATTGATAAAATGTACTGTCTTCTACCTGGCAAGAGTGGGTTTTA